GAGCTGGGGAAGATCGTGAATGAGACTATCGTTGCATGCGATCCCTTGGACGGCAGGTCTGATGGTGTGGTCGCCAGAACTGATCTCTGCTTGGTGCATTTTGACCCGAAAACTGTCGTTGGGAAGAAGTACTCCTGCGCTGCTTCTGCCGCCACACCGGCCCAGAGTGGCACCGTTTCGGCCAAGGCAGTCGAGGTCGCCAAAACCATCATCAACGGACTGCATGACTCCCAGGGCCGTCGTGTGTACTTCTCGTATCAGCCCAGCGCCGCCTTTGACGATGCGCAGACGCAGTACAACTCCACCACTGGCAAGTGGGAGCTGTCCATCGACCAACTCGGGGGCGAACACATTGCACTGCTCGTGAACAAGAACAGCACCACTCTGGACAGCCTGGACGGGGTCACTTACGACACGTTGAAAGACTGGATAATCTCGAGCATGCAGGAGTACTACAGCACCCTGCAGACTACCTGGCCTGATCTGACACCCTTCCACCAGGCTGGCGGTAAGGTGATCCACTACCATGGCGACGCAGACTTCAGCATTCCAACTGCTTCATCGGTCCGCTACTGGGAGTCGGTCCGCAGTATTATGTACGGCAATCTGTCGTACAAAGCTGGCGCCGATGCTCTGAATAAATGGTACCGCTTGTACACCGTCCCCGGTGCCGGCCACTGCTCTACCAACGATGCCATGCCCAATGGTCCGTGGCCCCAGACCAACCTCGCTGCCATGATCGAATGGGTCGAAAAGGGGGTGACCCCTGTGACTCTGAATGCGACAGTGCTTCAGGGTGAGTACGAAGGCGAGAACCAGCAGCTCTGCGCGTGGCCCTTGCGCCCTCTCTGGAAGAACAACGGCAAGACCATGGACTGTGTCTATGACCAGGCATCCATCGACAGCTGGCACTATGACTTGGATGGAGTTCCCATGCCTGTATATTAGCGTTCTTCATGGTAATATATAAGTTGGAGCGGTAGCTCTCGACGGGAGATCAACGCCATTCGGCTTCTATAGTCTACTGCTGTGAAAATTTCGTCAAGTAGTTTAAGAAATATTTCCTACCATAAGACACGTGGATCTCTCTTGATTGGCTCCATGCAAGGTACAACGACCATAGGCTTGCCCAACTTAATCTGTTTATTGATTCGGGTGAATAAAGTACTATGATCACTGTGACATGGGCACTTCTGTTAGTTTACTAAGCTGTTATTATCTTGTTGGGACTTGGCAAATAATGGAGAACTATGTCCTTAACAGACAGAACCACCTAGTCCTCTTTTGGATTGTGATGCTTTCTACACGAGGTTAAATCGGTCAGGTATATCGCGTTTCTTCGACAGGTCCCCAGCTCTGAGGAGTCTGCTGCCCAACCTACTTTCTACCCATCGGCTGTTGGAAGATTCTGCAGAAAAGTGGCAGATCGGCTCAGACAGCCCCTGTCGGTTATTGCACGCCTAATAAAATGCCCCTTTAGTAGTGTATACTCCTCTCAAAAATCCCGCGATGTATAGACTTGTGATGCCTAGCCCCGCTGCGATGGTTATTCAAGTGCGGAGGATTTATCAACCTGAAACACAGGCACGTAGCCACCAAAGCTTCTTACTCCCAGTCAATGGAGACCGGCAAATATGATTCGATCCTGGCAACTGCCGAGCAGGTTATTTTCTAATTAAGGCTAAAAACTTGCGAGCAAGGTGTACTGTCTCCTGGTTGCTTGCGCACTAGCCTTCTGCAAACTGTAATGCCGGATCGGCGGGCCGACCACTGGGCTTCAAATATGCTGTCGAGATCTGTGCCTTGAGCTGATCTAGAGACATAAATCTCTACCAAATTGCTGTGTGCTCTTTCTCAAATCAACACCATATTTTTTAGATTCAACCATGAAGGTAGAGACAGTACTCGCATGCCTATGGCTCGTTGCCTCGGCTTCAGCTTATCTGGCCACAACTACGGTATGGTCTTGCTTTATGATATCCCAGCCATGACTAACCAGAGAGCCAGCGCTACTATGACGGGCAGGAAGGAGCTTGTGGCTGTGGAACATCATCCGGTGGATACTCTTGGCAGGTGAAGGCTAACACACAGCTGTTTGAGGGACTGCGCTGACGTTTGATCTATAGCTCGGCATCAGTAACGGTGTTTACACGGCCGCCGGCTCCCAGGCCCTCTTCGATACTGCCGGCGCCTCGTGGTGCGGTGCGGGATGCGGCAAGTGCTATAACTTGACATCAACTGGCAATACGCCCTGCAGCGGCTGTGGCACCGGAGGGGCCGCTGGAGAGAGTATCATCGTCATGGTCACCAATCTCTGCCCCTATAATGGCAATCAGCAATGGTGTCCTCAGGTTGGCGCCACAAACAACTATGGGTACAGCTACCACTTTGATATCATGGCCCAGAGTGAAGTTTTTGGCGACAATGTGGTAGTCAACTTTGAGCCGGTTGCCTGTCCTGGTCAGGCCACCTCCGATTGGGAGACCTGTGTCTGCTACGGCAAGACAGCGACCGATGAAACTCCGGTGGGCATGACAGCAGGAGGCAGCAATCCTCCTCCTCCGTCGACAACCACCACCAAGACAACCACCACCAAGACAACCACCACGACCACCACTGGAGGAGCGACCCAGACCCTGTATGGACAGTGTGGTGGCAGCGGTTGGAGTGGTCCTACTGCCTGTGCTTCGGGTGCCACATGCAAGGTGTTGAATCCTTATTACTCCCAGTGTCTCTCGTAGGAACAATGATTGGAATATCCTGTTTATATTCCCTCTAGGCTTTGCTGAGTCGATGTTTCAATGAACTCCTGTTTCTATTTTGTTGAATCTCACACTACTGTTTCAGCCGAAATTGGATTGTAAGCCAGAATTGGACACGGACTGGACCGACATCCGTGTTGATGAGAGCCATGGTATGGTTAATCATTGATCATATCCATGGATCTAATGGCCATGGATCATCATCAATAATCATCGATTTCAACCATTAGCAAAGAATGATCTAATATGAGATCACCTAGTTATGAGATCATTCAATATTTGAATGGCCTATACTAAGAAGAATCATCTATAGATACACCCTTGAAATCACCCTATAGCTAGTTTGCAAAAATTAAGGAATTAAGACATTAAGCTAAGGCATCCTTAGCTATTTTCCTTCTACTAGTCTACTCTATTCTATTCTACTATCCTTCCTCCTATTCTTCCTTCATACCTAGGCAAGCCATCTATTCCCTTTTGCACTCGTGAATTTCCTTTGTCATTCCTATACTATTTACTTTATACTATTCTACTATTTTATTCACAATCCGGCTCCCACTTCCGCTGGTAAGATGGATGCAGTGGCAACGCAACAGTAATATTGCATAAGCACCAGTAGCTGCGCATTATCTTCTAGCCGTCTTAGCGAGGGATCGACGGATGGGAGCGGAATACAAGCGAACGATGCATAAGACCTGAAACATGAGAAAGCCGATCATCAAGCCATTCCAGCACGTGTGCATCACGAACCAATCACATTATCACAGCCACTTCCTTCTTTGCTAGATACATCTCTCTCAGTCCACAATTGCCAACCATTTCCTGGGCTGTCGACGCGGATTTGGACTAGAATGTGTGCAATGAGGTTACATCGCATCTGTAAGATGGCGACTCGGCGACTCTGAGCAGGTATAAAGGCGGACCGATCCGAACCAAAACTCATCTCCTTGCTTCTGTCACTCAACTTTCATCGGCATGCATGCCAAAACCATTCTGGCCTTGGGCCTCTTCAGCGTCGCTGTCTCAGCAGTCAAGCCTACCGTCTACCTCATCCGTCATGGGGAGAAGCCCAGCGATGGAGGTAACGGATTAAGCGTTCAGGGCCTCGAGCGTGCTCAATGCCTTCGCACTGTCTTTGGCAGCTCTTCAAGCTACAACATTGGATACATCATGGCTCAAACGCCGAAGAATGGTATGATAATCACATCTGTCGTAAAAGACCTCCGGCTAAGTTGTTAATCCAGATGGCAAACGCGCTCGTCCTTATGAGACAGTAGAGCCTCTCGCTAAAGACTTGGGACTGACTGTGGACACGTCTTGTGATCGCGATGATCCGAAGTGTGTTAGAGACGTGGTTGAGGGTTACACCGGGTTGGGCAATGTGCTGATTTGCTGGGAACATGACGCCTTGACGGATATCGTCGACAAGTTGGGCGATAATGATGCTCCAACATATCCTGATGACCGGTCAGTCTTCCCTGAATACAAGAATTAATGGCGTTGTGTCTGAACAATCTCAGGTTCGACTTGATATGGACCGATCCCTACCCCTACTCCGAGATCTCGGCAAAGAGCAGCGAGCAATGTCCGGGCTTGGATAATTAAGATGGCTCGGATATCTGCTCTGACTTTCATAGAGTTAGCTCCAGCAACCAATACATTGATATAGAGATATACATCCCTCTTCCTGGATACATATAGCTACATTAGCGCTTGCGGGTTATTATTGAATATAGAGCTTGAGAATGGATAAGTGAAGTACAAGGCAAACACGGTTAGTGATGAGAACAACTCAGTACCTGGCAGGATGCATCCTTGTGACATGGCCAGAAGGGCTCCATTGGCAGTAGCTTGGATCCATAAAGGAGGTACGTAACTACAGTTTCGCATCCGCTAAAAATAAGGCCGATCTGATTAGACCATGGCTAAGACGAATAGTCGCCATTTACAGTGAGCATTTCATGATGCTATTGGGCAGCTCGTGGTGGACAGCCCCGCCTAGAAAGCTTACACTTATCATCTAAGACTCGATAGTACCAGACAGTATGAGACAATTATCCTAGATCTGCACCATAGGAGGGGCCCTCCTTTACCCCGCCATAACCTGAAAGACTGGCCTATATAAACCATTGTCCAGCCCTCTACCCTCGCCTCCCCTATTTCATTCAATATCTCCATCAACACAACCTTCTGAACCGATATTTCCACTTCATTCCTTGTCCCTATAAGTTTGACATCATGGGCTGGTTCAGTAGGGCTCCCATTCTATCCGTGTTCCTATCGCTGTTCACTAAACTTGTATACTCTTCTAGGCGCCGACAGTGACCAGGCTCAGGCCTATGACGAATATCAATCAATGCCGCACGAGGCCAAAATAAGCCACGAACTGATTGCTGCCGCTGCTTCCTATGAGGCTGCTAAGGCTTATGAGGATCACGTTGCTGAAAACGGTTCGTTCTGTCCTGTCGCTCCGCCATGTCTCATAATAAGAAAGATGGATTAGTCTGGTACACGTATGCTGATTTGGATACAGGCTTGCCTCCTAGCCACGAGAAGGCCAAGGAGATTCTCGCTGCATTGGCCGGCGCTTTCATTGACCGTGAAGTTGAGACCAAGGGTCTTGATTTTATTGATCGGGAGCGGGCCAAGATGCACGCTGCTGATCAACTGGCCGAAGTCTCCTCTCAGGATTACAACTAGTTGTATCCGCTACAGAATCAGAATAGGATCAATCTGATACTATTAAAGATAGTGTGCCCTCGTTACTGTAAGAAAAAACAAAATGAGTGATGCCTCGGGTATCATCATCATGGTCGCCAGGTTAAAATTATTACACATTAATGAGCTTCACCCGTGCCCGATCAACATGGGCCACCTCCAGCACCTTGGCTGTCTCGATCTGAACCTCGGGTCTAGGCTCTGGATAGTGTCTGATTCTCCCTCCTTCCTGAATGACGCCTGTTCGATCAAGGAAGTTACGGGCTCGGACAAAAGGGTCCAATCTCCAGTAATTAAGGCGAAGTTGCTCCATCACTTTCAAACGGCGAGACTGGACGATCGCAACCTCTTTAGGGCAGTCGAGTCTCGTCGCCTCGATCCACTGGGACGTAAGGGAAAGAAATGCCTCGCTGATATGTTGTCGCTCAGTCAGTAATGCATTGCGCGCTTCGTCGTCCTCCATTAAGTCGTTCTCATCCATTTCAGGCTCGGTATACTCATACTCCCAGTCCTCATCACCCCCCAGCTCGCTCACAATCTGACTCGGATGGATGAACCGTGCGAGATCTTCCACCGACTTGGTGAAGTGGATTTTTGTCACCATGTCCGGGTCAATCCAGCCTTTAATGATCTTCCATATTCCTGCGTAAACTTAGTTAGTGGTGAGCGACGAGGAAAACGGCAGGAATTTGGCCAAGCACACCGGCAAAAATACGCGGAGCATTGTGGATGAGCAAAACACCCAACGACTCCGGATAATATAGCTCAAAGCATCGGATGATAAACTTTACAGGAGCATACTCCTGTATATGGAACATCAGCAGGTAATTCTTCCCACCATGCCGGCAAACCCACCATATTTGCAAGAGAAAAGCCAGTCAAGTCGAAAATGACAGTCTACGACGGGTATGTCAGCATTACGAATCCACCTATGTGAGCGGTACATACTGCTGTCTCGACAGGAGGCGCGATGAGAAGCCGGACCGACTCCATAATATGTGTGATGTATCGGTTCATCACTTCTTCCGATTGATCCTCGGGTCGATGCAATCGCACTCGTATCACACACAAGGGTCGGCTTAGTCGATCGACCCCATGAACGTAGCATTTCCCCATCCGCAGCTGACGAACAAAGCCACTTGACAGTTGTGCTTCGGCAGCATTGGAGGGTGCCTGCGACTGGTGCAGCGCACCAAGTTCGCCCTCTGGGAGTAGACGGTCATCCACATGCATGTCCTTTATTCGCCACTGCAAAGCGTTCAGAGTGAGAATAAAAGCCTTGCTGACATCCCACTTGCAGAAACGCAGGTATCGAAGCATCCACCTATCCGGAAATTCATGTTTGCTCGCCGTCAGTATGCCCCAGCGGACATCGTCTGGGCTCAGGTAGGTCAAGGATTTTGCGACAGATCGGATCTCAGATGCGGTCATTCCGATACTGCGAAGGCTCTGGACTAGTGGGTTGGAAGGTGCCGGAAAGGACGCTGTGCTGCTCCTGCGCGACAAGATGGAATCCGTCCGGGCCAGCAGCGAATTTCGACGCGCAAATGACGAAATTGAAGTTGATCCATTTCGCTCGGCGCTGTTGACCCGGAAGAGCTGTTCGAGGCCTCTGACAGAGGCGGCATCTTCAATGTAAAGAACCAAAGACCAGAGTTGCTGCAAGCATCTCTCCTGTTCCCTCGACAGATTTCCCAGAAACCCCGGAGGGATATTGCTTGGCTCTCGAACCATTTGAGTATAGAACAATCAATCACTATTACGTGGAACCGGGTCGACCCCGCGCAGGGATACGCAAAGGTTTGCGCACTCCCATTAATCGGTGTACGCTGGTGCACAAGCGCCATCAGATGCCAGGAGGCGGTGCAGGCTACTTCCCCGCACAACAACATTCCCTCCTCGGCTCGGCGGCTTCGACCCTGGCCGTCAGGGCGTTGATTGGCCTTGGTTCTTGGATCAGACGGGCCGCTGAAGAACCGAAAGGGAATGAGCCAATCATGTCTTGTATCGGTAATTGACGGCGGTGAATGCGGCACTGGCAACAGTATTGCGCTTCTGATTGGCTGAAGGTTAAGGTACCCGGCATGATGTCATATAGCAGTCACAGAGGTCTTCAGAAGTATCCCAGTTAAGGTAGAGGTAGTACTCCATGTAGAAATAAGTAGAGTCATATTTCGAGTCATACAACGCTCCAGGCCGTCCTTGCTCCAATTTACTTATGTACTAAGCACAAGAATATAGTTATCCTGATGTCGGTTCGTCAATTCCGTCTAACAACTCATTGATAAAATACACATATCTCCGGATTCTTTGGAGACTTTAAAATAGCAGAAAGCCTGACTCATGCATATATGTACAAGGAAAGATTCAGAAAGTGGGCCGTAGCACTCCAATCATTTGCTCTCTTTCTTGGCCTCTTCAGCAAGGTTCTCGGCCTGCTTGGTTCTCTCCGATAAGACACCCTGGATGTCATTGAGGGTGTCCTTGAGAATCTTCTCCGCCTCTGGACCCTTCCTCTGCGCAACATTCTGGAGTGACTGGAGCTGGGAGAGAATGTTTGAACCTCCTGGCAACTTGTCTGCCACACTGTCAAGATTGAAACCACTCTTCTTGGCTTGATCAACGGTCTTGTTGATGTATCCCTCCAGGTTACCTAGGTTGTCCGAAGACGAGCTTTCCTTGATTATACCCCAGAGTTCTCCAAAGTTGCCCTTTTTCAATGCATCACTGTTCTTCTCCACAAGTTCTTTGACTTTGGGGTTTCGATCAAGGTATGGCTTAACCTCTTCCATACCTCGCTGCCATGCCTCATCGCCGAACTTCTGGAGCTTCTCCCTCTTCTCCTGGGCCAGGCTTTGAATCTTCTGGACGGTCTCGGGATTAACACCGCTCGAGATGATATCCTTCACTTGCTGCCACGTTCTGTCGACCTCCTCTTTCGCCTGTGGACCATAGGCATTGCCCAGCTCCTTGAGCTGATCCAAGCTGCCGCCGACCTTCTCCTTGATTTCGGGATGGTTGTCAAGGATGTCACCTGCAGACTCGCCAGCCAGTTCATACAGACGCTTGAAGTGCTTTTGTAAAATGTCCCGTATCTTGACAGCGGTGTTCACATCAAGACTGCCTTTTTTTGTGGCTTCGCGCAAATCTTTGTACGCATCATTGACAATCTCATTGAATTCCTTTCCATGCTTGCGCTTGATCTCCTCGAGGTCGTCAAACGCCTGGTCGACATAGGGCTTGGCCCCAGGGATCCACGATGCGTAATTTTTCGCCGTATCTCTCAACCAACCAAAGGCCTGGTCGGGATCAGGAGTCTTCTGAGCGACTGTCTTCTTTGCTTCGTCGTAGTATTTTTGTGTTTGGTTCGCGGTCTGAACAAGCTTCTTGGCTCCGGAAAAGTGGTACCATGTGTAGCCTGCGAGAAAGGTCACCGCTCCACCAGCGAGGCCCCCGACCAAGGCAGGGTTGGTGCCATTCGGAGCGGACTGAGTTGAGGTAGCGTAGCGAGAACGTTGGTTGCGAAGAGATGCCCTTGTTTGGCCCCAGAGCTGCTGCCTGGCACAGCCTGTTGCGAATCGAGAACCTCGGGTCAACATGTTGTAATTGCGTTTATGAAGTAGGAGATGAGTTAAATGAAGGAGTGAGATTCGTGCGTGAACTTAATCAAGAGATTGTCGAGATCTGAAGTGGTCCATGGTATTTATAACTTTTAATGCAATGACGATGTCGTACACTGACATTGTCGTATGGGACAGGGAATGCTCATGTCAATTGCGTCATGGTTACTGTGTACTTTCCCTGTTTCCGGCAGCCACGCCAAGCCCTCCATGACCTATTACCATAATGATAATGATCGACAGGAACTTGGATCTGGTGATGTCTGTTTTCTTATTTTAGTCCAGTCTGTCCTTGCTACATATCTAGTGCCGAGTAATAATATTAATGCGCGGTTGTTTGCTAGGATTATGCTTAAAATTTAGTCTACCTCTGATCCCGATGATGATGTCATTGGTTTGGCATCATTTCCGATTGACGCCGTTGGCTTCAAAGTGATAAATCTCATAATCCAATTGTGACTTTATCGTATTAATTGATCAATTGAGCACATGCTTCCTCATTCAAGTGGCATCATGGAGCCCTCTCTGGTGGTCTGCGTTCTGGATCCTGCATGTTATGACATAGATTGAAGGTACTTAAGACTTAATAGTATTATATTTTGTATTGCCTATCCTCCCGATATTGTACAGCATTCTGATCAAAGATGCGTCAAATGGGACATCTGTCCTTAATACGACTAATAATGACCGTGCGGGCTGCCAGGTTATCGCTCAACTTGGTCAAATCCTCGCCGGGCATCGCGCGGCGGAAATTGGCTGCGCGAGTCACCTGCGCAATGTCCAAGAGTGCCAAGGGAGCAAGGATGAGGTTGAAGATGGCCAGTGGCGCATTCTTCTTGTCATCGCCCACCATGTAGACATCCAACGGTGCGATACCGACCGTTCCCGTCAGCGCGACATTGCGCCCACTTGTGACAAGGGATCTCAGCCCACTCACGAGCTGACCGACGACGGGGACTAAAAGGAAAACGGCGCTCAGGAAGGCAAAGACGATTGCCTTGCGCTTCTCCCTATCTATCTCCTCGGTTGCCTCGACGATCGATTTCATGTCCTCCACCGCATCTGCAACCATGAAGATGGGGAGTGAGACGGCGTCAACAGGATCGTCGGTTAACTTAGAAGTAATAAGCTTATCTAACTATATCTAGGCCTAGATAGGAATATATTTTAATCTACAGATAGATAATAGTCATACCTATCTATATATTAAAAAAATAGATATATTAAGAAAAATCGGAGTTATGGTAGATTTTAGATGATGACTGTTAGGATTGTCGTGGTAAGACATATATCTCTCCACACTACTTTTCATCCTAACCTTAGAGGTCACCCCTACTCCCCTATAAGGCTATTTTACCTTAGATAATAGGGATTATATAATATTTATATAGTGAAATATCATATTGTTAAATAAGATATTAGATATCCTAGTAGTGTGGCAAGAAGAATACTAGAAAAATATACGATAATTAGAATACGACATTGGTATTATAGATATTTCCATTATCCGCAGTCCAACCCTGGTTCAACCCATAATCCGCATGGGTTGGATCAAACATAGTGCGGATCAATCTATATCCAATCCATGACCAGTCTACGGCGTTGCGTGATCAACGCCGAGCGGGGATCACTTTAAAGCGGACCACCCCCATTACTACTACCCCTCAGCCAAATCTCACAATGCAAGTAACTGTGACCAAGTCAGTGGCCATTCTTGGCGGTACGTATGTCACTATATGCAGTGTCAAGGGATCAATTAGCAAGTCCATAGCTGGGATTTTCGGCCACTCGCTGGCTGTCGCGCTGCGAAGCAAAGGTAAAAGTGGTCCAGACGAACAAAAAATGGAGCTCGATGACATCTGTAAACAAACAGGCTATAGGGTTGTCCAGGAGGCCATCTACAGACGAATCCACCTCCCCATCCACTTCTCATTAACCCTTTTCGCCTCGTCCACAAGCCCCAACTCCAACAGCAACTGCACACTCCCCCTAGCAGCCGACTGCAACGACGAGCTCACCCAAGCATGCGTCGGCGCCGTATGCTCGCCAATAAAGATCGTATTGTGCTCGGTGACATGATACGCCGGGATATACAGCCTATGCTGCTCGATGTCTGGGCGACACCACGCCGTCGCCGTGTGCTCGTCCTGCAACCAGCACAGCCGCTCATAGTCACCCGTGTAGAGCTCACGCGCTTGATCGCCATGGATTGAGACAATGGCGTCGAGGACAGTCTGTACATGCTCTTCGTCTGAAAAGCTAACGAACCGGTCACTCCAGTCGCCGCCGCGGTAGTGCATTATAAGCCCCGGGCGCGACTCGTTGTGGCCATAGACCGGGTAGTACAGGGCTCCGACGGGTTTGCTAGGTGGCTTCGAGTACCCACCAAAGATAGGTCGGGGCCCCTTTTCCCAGAAGCGTTCGCGGAAGAGGAGGGCGACTTTGCAGGCGGATTTGAAGCGGAGGCCGGCTTCGCTGGTTGCGCGGGAGAGGACGGAGGAGAAGTTAGGCAGATCCATGAAGCGCGTCATTGTGAAGGGGACCGCCATGATTGTGTAGTCGTAGTCCTCGGACTCGTGGGTGCGGTTGGTGATACTGGGATACCAGGAGAGGCGGGTGCGGGTTGTACCATTGGGGCCCGGGATGGGTTCTAATTTTCGGATCTTGCGGTTGAGGGTTAGGCGGTTGTGAACGTGGGGGAGAAAGGCATCAGAGAAGCGATTGAAGCCGCCGTCTATGCAGAGCCAGGTTGTTTCGCCGAGGGCGCTGCTGCCGCCGTCAAGCCCCAGGTTGGAGTTGTGGTGAAGCTCGTCCCAGAAGACGTCGTAGTCGGAGCTTGTCCAGATTTCGTCGGTGACATTCATACTAGCTTTGAGGACGTGGCGCATCATGGATTGCTCGCTCCAGTCATCTAGACCTTCTTCCATGGCGAGTTTGTGCGCGCGCCAGACGTCTCGTTGGAGGGATTTCAGTGTGGTCTCGTTCTTCAGAATGCGGTCCATTCTGTCCTTCATGCTAAGGTACTCGGCACTGGACATGTCAGGTGCTTCTTTTAGGCTTGGATCTGCCTCAATCTCAGATCGAGTGGGAATGCGGCCATCAGGATGTCGACGAGTCCCCTGCGCAATAAGCTCATTCGGGTGATGCTGGATCCACGGAATAAAGTCAATCTTCCAACGAGGGTCATTCCCATTCATCTCGTTTAGGATACCCGCGAGCTGGAATGTCATCTCATGATCCGTATACCGCAGTGTCTCATTATTGTCCTTGTACGTGACAGAATAGGGCAATCGCATCGGCCCCATCTCCGCCCACTCCTGCGTCCCAGCAACATACCGCGTCCGGAACCGCCCTCCGACGCGATCGCTGGCTTCGATGATTTCCCAGTTGTGAATGCCGACACTGTCGAGCATTAGGCCTGTGGCAAGGCCGGCGATACCAGCGCCCACGATGGCGATCTTGCTGTCCTTGGGCGAGTGGCCAGATGCGACACCACCGTGGGTTTCAGTCTTTTGTTTGATGGCGGCAACTCCGTCGAACCAGGCCCCGAGTGAGTCGAAATCTTTGAGGAGCGGAATGTTTGTATCGGCGAGCGATCTTTTCTTTGCCGTTCGACTGAGTCGGACGGGCTCACTCTTCCCCAGGAGACTTGGTGTTGACGTATCTGACTCGGTGCCATGGACGTAGATGCAGTTGTCCGTCGGGGCATCGCTAGAGACCGCCCAGGCGAGTCGTTGAGGGGGGTGACCTTCGACAGTAAAGCGACCGATGATCTGCTTCGAAGACGTATCAGGACTCAAACACGACGCATAAACAGCCTCGATGATACCAGGGTGAGCTTCGCGCCAATCGAGGTAGACATTAGCAAGCCCACCAGGCTGAACAACATCGGACGTCGAGACTCGAACGGTGCTCGTACCCTGAGGGCTGCTAAGCACGCAGTTTACTTGGGCCAACAGCAATGCCGCACTCGCAATTATCTTGACTGCCATGTTTCGTTTTGAAAAAACCGGCAATGAAGGCAGGTGACGGTCGGACCGGATTTTATTCTTTCTGTCAAGCGATCTACAGGAGCACAAGGTTGCAGGGCCATGCCGCGCGTGAGGACCTTTCGAGTCTGCAGGAAACGTCTCGCGACGATCGACATGACTTTATCATTGCAAACGTCCAAGCATGTACCTGATCTGCAAATGTAGCTGCCATGGTCCTGGGAATGCAGTTCAGCAAGGTCTCAAATTACTACCAAGAGAAATTTCAACAAGGTCTTAAAGGCCTTGTTGAGCTCCTTAACTATTATACAATAGTATTAAAAAATCCCCCTAACCTCCTAAAAAATACATTCATTATTTCTAACCTATAGTTACGTACCCCCTATTACCTGATCACCCTGACTTTAGGGTGGTAAATTTGTCAGTTAACAAAAAGTATAGAACATATAGTTGAGTGAAGTCCCTGCTGAGGTTTTCCACCTTACTAGGTTTAGGTACTAGCTTAAACCCTAATGATTTTAAGATGCCGTAAATAACCTGAGACCTTGTTAAACAGTAACCCAGAGGGTCCTCATGCTTACATTTCCGCTGGAAAAATGAACATTGTTGACCCCACGTAAGCTCTAAAGGGGTCCTCAATTGAAGGCAACCGGTACAAGGCCAAACTAATTAAAAGTAATACATAATGTTCGGAACAAACAATTACAGTAACTGGCGGTATGAGACACAGAGGCTTTTTGACAAGCCCCTTGCAACTCCATAATCACTTCGCTGCCCCATGACAGCGCTATGGCGGTATCATTATGCCGCTTTACAGTGTTGTTGCATTCTGGCTATAGCCAGCATACATACATCCTGATGCAGCAACGATCTGGTGAGTAATTTCTAGTTATAGGATTGAGGTTAATCTACAGGTATAATATAAGAATAATTATAGTAGAGATCGAAGTAAGGCCTATTAGGTGTATATACATAATAATAAGAGAGTAACTAATGTATTGGACTAGTGAACTTCCACCCTAAATACTCCTGGATAGAAGCAATAAGTAGTCGTAAACAACTGCGCAGCGCTATAGTGTCTATTAGTAGGGTCTATGCATGATAGGGCATATTAGCTATCCCTAGGACCGTATTTAGGAAGGCCGCTTTTTGTTGTCCTGTAAATTGACTTAAGCATAGTTAAATGCCCACTGTACTAATCCATTCGGCATCTTGGTCTGGTCAACTAGAGAGACCACTCCCGCCTAGCATCCTGCCTTTATTTAGGTATGCCCTTAACTTTCCGCCATAATGTCACTAGTCATATTCATTTTACAAAGCCCATAGTGCCAAAGCACGTAGCAGTTAGTGCCCGTGATAAGTGCTACCATTTAACACACATTCGATAAAGAGTATAAGGAGAGATAGTTGATATATGTCAAAATTTTGGCTTCAGAGTAAGCTACATTCCTCTCAGCAAGACTCATTAGTCGATATAACTCTCTAATTCAACTTACAAAATCCAAGCAAACGGTTTCAGATCTACATTGTTGTATCCACTGTTAAGTTACTTGCTTTGATACATAGCGGCCGCGGGCCCCCACTCCCTTAACAGCAACCTCAACCACAATATCCCCTATCCCTTAGTTATAGTGAGCACAGGAAGTAACAGGGAGCTAGCCTACCCTTCAACAAACCGACGGCTGGAGTTGTGGTATTCGAGTCGTTTGGAATTTCCGGCGGTTGTCTAATTGGTTCCGGTCAGCGGGTGGGATAGGTGGTTGGTCATTGTACTTAGGGTTCTGGTCTCCTTGAGGATGGAAACATCACCCAGGAGTATACAACTAGATGTGGAAGCTGTAAATTCAAGAACCATATGGAATTTATTTCATCCTATGAATCTACTCGACGTTTTCGCGTCGCTTACATAAATAGGTAGGTAGAAAATTCAGCCTCTCTTTTCCCCCACTGGACCTTCCGATATCGCCAGTGAACCCTCAATTATGCTGCTCTAATCCAAACAGGCTACGCTTGAGACCTTGGCAAGCATCCTTACAATTACTGGCTCCAGTAACCATCACGTTTCCGAAGGATTCCATTATCGCCTATTGGTATAAGCCTTTGTTAGTCATGGTTCACTTATTCAGACCAGACCTGTACGATGATTCAGGGAAAAGTGGATTAGTTATGGGATTCCTTTGCACTTACCATCTGCAATTGTAACTCTGCCGCTTCCAATGCCGCTGTAGTTGCCGCACTCGCTGCCGCAGCCATTTCGTCCAGCAGTGAGCAACAGATCTCTTGCAAGGTCTGCGGGTCGGGATTGGCCACAGGGAGGGCATAGGTGGTTTGGAGTGCAAGGAAGGAGAAGATGATAACTTTGCTGAGCTGCATGGCGACTATTATCTGTGTAGATTAAACTTCTAGTTTGCTTTTTCTTGGGAGGAGAGAGCTGTAGTGTCTTGGAGAGGAGATAGTGGATGAATTCTAGACATACAGAAGGGAGAGGCAAGACTTTTTATGCCTTGTAATCTTCTTCTTTAGGAAAGGATTCCTTCGCTTATTTCCGGGCAATGCTTCATCGCGTACAATCAGGATTGTAATTTGATTAGTTTACCTCTACATATTAAAGACTTTCCTAATATTACAGTGTCTTGAAATGGGGCGGAATCTAAGTTATTTTGTCCTGTCATATCTGAGTGCAATGTTAGTATTACTATTCATAGGATGTAGCTTCACGAAGATGACTGAGGCAGGACATAGATTAAGGGAAGATAGGTGAGGGAGTAGAATCGTTACAGTACACCACAGCCAGCCATCGCTTGTCTACGATAGGAGATAATAATAGCATGTTACAGGGAGCAATATCATCCAAGGATCTCCAAACATCCAAGTAGCCTACAAATAAGTCGCTTGTGGTATACTGTGAAATGCTCAGCCTCAGACTAAGCATAATCAGGTTCCCAAGAAAAGGACTAATAATAGCGCATCTCTAAACTGTGGATAGGGAGGTTGGCAACAGAGTGGCTGTGATCCTGGGGGTACCCAATCTTGGCGGAGGTTAGTTGTCGCGCAAGTCAGCATAGGGAATGATCTATACCTGGTTGCACTGAATGCGACCCGGAAAGTAGTTTCGAGGCTCTATATGAAAGGCAGATTGGCAGCTTGACTGCGAGGACGATTAAGCATTATCTTGGTCAAATCGTCGCACGTACTCCATCCTTCTCCATGACAGTATGCTGTCTTCCCGGCATCCTCAACATTAGCTCTACCGTCGCTGTTAACTCCGTCGTCTCCACGGCTGTTTTCGGCCTACATCTCTCCTACACTGTGCCTTAAATTCCTTGGCTTTCAAAGAGAGAGGTAGGTGCTGATTTGGTTCCCAAAAGCCGTAAATTTCAGCCTCATAGCCTCAAAGCCATAGATCAAGGCTGGATGAAAACTTTGTGCATCCTGATATTGTACTCATCCAGCGTATACCAAAAGAATCGCCCAGCACCACAGCGGTCATCAGCCCAGAAGTCAGCGATACAGTCGCCGAGAAGTTCTTCCCATGGAAGTTTCATGCCAAGAGCCTTGGCCATCACGTCGCAGTGGACTAGCAGTCGCCAACAATACGTGAGGTACAGAGCCAATTCCTTGCGATTTGATGGGTGGAACGGATCATGTGGCTCGTTCAACCGTCCTCCTACCGGTTCACACGCCGCGAGCTCCATGACGTTCAACACCAGCTCCGCCGGCAGACCTTTCTGAAACAAGTAATCCCGAACAAGTGCCACGTCAGACAAACCTGGCTGATGACCCGCAAACATTTCATTCTCCAGGGTAAGGAACTCGTCAATGGGCACCTTCCCATAATGGTCAGCCCGACGACAATAATACCGTCCGTTATCCTGAAGCTTGTTATCCGCCCATCGTAGCCAGTGTGTGCTTCTAACCTTCGGATATTGGTATTCGCCTGTAAAATGGTTGTTGCCTATCCCGAAGAATTGTCGATGCGGGTATGTGCTCACTTCTGATGTCTGCCCTGTGCCTGTGCATGTTCTCAGTGTGTACTGGTAGAATTTGGTGTTGCGGTAGTCCACCTCCGCGGTTCTGCCGGAAGCGTCGTCCCATATTTCTGGGAAGCAGTAAATCGTGTTGAGACATATGTAGGCCCTGAGGGCCTTGATACATACTTGGTCCCATCCGAGCACAGGTTCCTGTGTTAGTTGCCCCAACAAGCACGCATCTTAAGGTCATTGCTACGTAGGACTCACCGCACACTGGCATTCCCCGTCACGCCACAAACGCTCAAGACCCACTCCAGGCAGAGCACACACGCGCAGAATAGTGTCTATCTCCCCATGCAGAAGTAAAGTTTTCACCACTTCGACGTTGAAGAACGCTCCAGAGTTCTCATACTAGAACTCGTAGCAATGTCTCGAACCACGGGGTTGGAGAAATGCGGACGCCCTGTTCTCTTCGTTTGGGATGGGGATGCATTTACACTCTTCGTTGTACTGGTCCACTTCGCAAATTTCACTAGGGCATCTGCCTTGGAGGCCATAGCCATAGCTACGCCATCTGCGGACGGTAGGGGTGATTTTCTGGACGGTGGCTGAGTCGAGAATAACTTCTGTCGGATCGGCTGGTTCTTATACTAAGGGAAATTTCTTGCGCTCGCACACTGAATGGTCGTCGATGGTTCGAATAAACGCTTTGATAAAGTAGGTGAGCTCTTTGCCCTGCTGAGGTTTCATGGTAGGGCGGAGATTTGTGATGATTTGGTCACCACATGAGATTGTGCTCCAGTGGAGGTTTGAGGCCAGAAGACTCCATGGGATATTGTGTGCTTGGTATTCCATCTTATGAAATGTTACTGCAAACAATCCAAGCGATGTCAGCTTGAGGACTTTGCGCAGTCAGTATTTGCGGGGTCTTGGTCACCTCACTAGTCGGGTCTCAGCGCAACTTACCAACCGGCTTCTGAGTGTCAGCTGACAACAGAGTACATAAATTTGTCACGGATTGGATATGGATTGATTCGCACTACATTCCATCCAACCCATGTGGATTATGGGTTGATCCATGACCTATTAAACCAACCCTCATGTCCATGCGGATTGGATAGGAGATAACAGATATATCCATACTTCATACGAGAGCCACTTTAGGATGCTCTGCAGACTACATCATCTTGGCACAGTCGTCTAATCCAGTCCTGTCCCATCAAAACTATTATTACGTGACCAACCCCGATCTCGGTAAGAAGGACTGAGGTGGACTGGATTCCATTAGGTACATACAAGATGAGAGAAGAGAATATATTGAAATGCATCCAAAAGGTTTGATTCATCAAATGGACGGATCAATAGCCGCCCTTGTATAGGCCTTTTGCCCACTCCTCTGATATCGAGGACATGCAGTGGTGGCTTTCCCCTGATTGATAACGTACCCAGGTTCTTGGTTGACCACGAGGCGTTTTCACACGTTGCCAAGGTCTGGCCCCTTTGATCGACGAGCTTGAGGTTACTTGTCATTGCACCGTCTCATTTCCAGGTCCACTGTGTATCAGCACGAATCACTTAGTAGGAGCTAGATAAGAATCGCATTTCTTATGGCAATGTCTTGCTCTGTGAGGGAAACTTTGATCTCGGCTTTGAAATGATGGAACGATGCATGGTCGATGTTCTGCTCAGGAACTCCAGGTGCTGAGCGAGATATGGCCATGTGTGGCTTGGAGCTGGAGCGATAGACATTGTAAAGGTGAGTCTGCTTGTCAGAGTCAAGAATTTCTAAGCGTCCATGATTGGATCGGTGGTAGATATGTAGAGTCTGTGGGCCAACAAGCTCGTCTTGCCTGATCACCGTCTTGTATAGGCGAGGCAGTAGCGACAAGGCAGTTGATCGAATGATCAGTCCAAGCTTCCCACACATCGCATCTACATGGTGTGGATGAAGAGGAGGTCGAGCTTTCAGCCGAAGATCTCCAGCCCGCGTCGATTAAATATGGCATGATGTACCCTCCGTAACATCCCTACTGGAAGATTACCAGTCTTGGCATGCGCAAAACTGTCCCAAAACGGCAAGTGCTTGTCCCATCAGCTCCGAATTTCAAGGTTTTCCGAGAATGGGAACTAAATTGACTGATGAAGGTTCAACGGATTGACGCATAATTAATCTTGAGGTATTGTCCTGACCGTTCTTTTTGTTTACTGCCTAGCCAGGCACGGTTATCACATGTCAGCCGTCTGGGAGGAAGATTTCCCTAAGAAACAAATTAGATGATAATCACTGGGATGCATATCTGATGTCTGATAGGTGCTCTGTTGACGCTTAAATTCAAGGTGGGGCAATTCTGGCTGAGCGATGGAATGAGCCGTCAATTGTTATGCTGGAGTCTAGACAAGGTGTCATTGTAAGGCCCGCGGCCCTTTTTGGCTGCTTCACTGATATGCGGCTGAGATATGCATAGATGTGATTCACGTCATTCAGCTGCCAACCGGGTCCAAGCGCATTCAGCAGGACACGAGGGGACGCAAGGACATCAGACATCTCGGGCTCGGCCCTCGGCCTCGGAGCCGGGCTTGCTCAGTATCCCCGAAGCTAGAATATATTGCTCACTCCGTACAGTTCTCTCTCCTGTCCTCTTCTCACTACTACTGCACACCCCTACTCCAGAAAAATCCTTTCCAACAGCGTCACAGGAAGAGCCCAAATGCATTCCCCTTACACCTACTGCAACCCAGCCCCCTCTTTCGCCGGTCGAGGCCGTCGGTTTTTTCGCCAAAACTACGTGCGCGGTCTCAACCCTCGCGCTGGCGGCATCGGGGGTCTAGTCAAAGTCGCCCTTGTCGGAACCGCCACTTACTTTGTCTGCAAGAAGATCTACCAGTAAGTCGCCATTTGCTTTCCTCAGTGATGACCGTTTTGTTGAACTTGGCTCTGACTGCTGTTTGGCTTCATTAAATAGTGCCGGTGCCCAAAGCAATAATAATGGGCAGACTTCGCAATAACCGCCAACCAATCCGATTACGGGGCAGGAGTGTTGTGATATCCAAATGATGCATTTGTAGAGATAAGGTGTCTGATCACTTGCGAGCTTTGTTTTCTTCAACGGCGTTTGCGTATGTAATAATACTCCATGGGGGGCTCATTGATAGTCTCTCACCGTCATGTGATTGGATGAAATTCATTGTGAATACTGAGAGAGAAAATTACGTTCTTATCCCTAAAGTGCTTTAGGCTGGCAGTAGTAAGATCCCATTGGAAACGGACCGACTACCCAGAGAACTGTAGAGAATTCTCGAACGAAGAGCCTTAGCGTCTATGACGGTCAGGCGGCCCAGGCCTCGGACATATTCCATTGCTTCTGGTTTATATTTTAGCGTTGACATATCTGAGTTCGATTTCTGACCCATCTTGCGGTGAAATAAAGACTATACCGTTCAAGACAGCCATCAGGGTCAACTTGAACAACATATCCGCTAAATACTTCCCAAGACATCGTCTACTCGCCGGCCCAACGCCAAACTGCATAAATCCGTATCGCGAATTCAAGTGCGGAATATCCCGAAACCGTTCGGGGCGATAAGTGTCACCGTCTTTGCCCGGATTGAGCGCGCATTGCAGGCTGGTGTCGATCCACTTATCACGGGATACTTGGAGGCGAGGACGATGAAGCGGGAGACGATGGGGGTTCCTTATATGGGAGAGACGGGGTCGGTGTGAGTTTTTGTACTTTTGTATCAATTTAAATCTGTGTCTTATTTATTAGTATTTTGTCTATCTGGTCTGTTGAATCAGTTGATTTTATGTATACTCAGTACTCCGAATAGAATTAGGTGAATCTCTGATCTGATCCACAGTAGCTGCAGCTACTGTGGATCAGAAAGCAGGGTAGGGACTCGAAACTGTAGCCATGAAGTCAGAACCTAGGTTACAAAAGACAATGATGATATTGATAAGAAGCCGTCTTTTCTAGCGCAGTGGCCAGTACTGTACCTTGCTAGATCCAGCAAGGTTCTCGAACAAGCATGCCATCTCAGCGCCTGTCCCCATGGCCAGTAGTCTCCCTCTTTCGTGGAGGCTACAAGGATACGGAGATGGGTGCAGAGTCCCGGGGCCGGGCTGGCGCCGTGTTTCTTCGATTCTTGGCCTTTGCTTCGACGCTGAGCTGCTAGGTATCTTAAGAGGGTCTTAGCCAGAGCGATTATTAGGGCTCCAGATACAAAGTACTCGAGACCCAGGCACCATCCCAATATCGTTGGGCTTTGAAAATACTCTTGATATGCATTAGCATGGTCATCAATCAGATTGTAAGATTAATAAATATAGAGAAAAATATAGTAGGATTGAGAGGAAGATCTGGTTTTGCCGATGAACGCAGTTACCTAGATATATTTTGGGTATTCTTCAAATGGGATATTATATATATATACACAGATATATCTGACCAAACAAGCAGTTCTAACTTGATTTGACAAGAAACAATCATTAATCAATCCAGCTTATCCTTATCCCTTAGCGAAAGCCTTCTTCCCACCCACCATCTTCGCCACAAAGGCCAGAACACCCCCGAACATCATCACAGCTGCACTAAAGATCTGAACCTGGAGGAAGCCACCGTAGTCATTAAGCAGCGCGCCGTTGATAGGTGGGCCAATAAGAGTGGCAACCGACATAACAGCCATACCCATTCCAATGTAAGTGCCGATTTCCTGAGGATGCCCGGCACAATTGGCAATAGCGGCGGGGGTGATACCGATGATACCGCCGGAGAAGAAGCCGTAGAGCACCGAAAAGACGATGGTGCTCGCGTTGGTGGTCATGCGGATCCAGCAGAATGTGACGATGGCGGTGATGATGCTTACGGTCGAGAGCATGTTGTACGGCCCGATTTTGTCTGCAAGGACGCCCGGGACTAAGCGGCCGAAGAATGAGGATGCATTTTGGATCGCGATAAGGTAGAAGGCTAGGCTGGTGCTCATGCCATGGATTTCGCCGTATAACGGGAGGTAGAAGAAGGGGGTGAAGATGCCGACGTTCAAAAAGAAGACCGCAGTCAGAGTCGCGATGTAGTGAGTTTTCTTGAAGGCCTCGAGTTTGAGGAATCTTTGTTTTTTGGGTGGGAGGCGCGCGCGGATTCCCAAGACTGCGCAGGACATGACGCCTAAAATGACAAAGCCAATGATGCGGACGGCCCATGCAAAGCCTAATGAGGAGTAGAGCACCTGCTCTAGGGCGATGGGGAAGATCACGCCACCGAGGGATGACCCAGCGATGGTGATGCCCATTGCAGCAGCGCGCTTTTTCTGAAAATACTGCGCTGTGGAGGAGAGTGCAGGGGCGAGCGACAATCCCATGCTAATACCGCCGAGGATTCCTTGAGCTAGGAAGAATTGATAATATTTTGTGCAGAGGCTGGTCATCATGACGCTGAAGATGACTAGCACCGCCGGAGCCCAGATGACCTGTCGTTGGTTAGCTTGTCAACTGGACCATATATCTCAGGGATGGCTCACTTTGGCTCCATAACGATCAAATAGGGGACCGCCAACAAGACCGGATCCA